TCTTTCCCCATCCTAGATGTATGTGCTTTTCTGAGCTCAGCTTAATACTTTCTCTCTTAACAGCATCAGTCAGATCGTCTCCTGCTCTCTTATTCAGGTTCTTTGTTTCTAAATGTTCTTGGTGCAAAGCTGTGCTTCTGACTCCTTGTGGAAGGGCTGGTGATAATTTTTCACGAAAATGTTTCTATGACCAGGTGAGATTCTTCATTTCGAATACTGAGCTTTTCATACTTGTTACAGTAAGGAAGAGAAAACTGAGAGGGCTCAAATGTGAACGCAAGTGGCGAGTAGGGGAACCTCCCTGAAGTGGTGCTTTTATTTATTTCCACGATCTTATTTTTTTTAATCTTGGTTTTGAGGTTTTGTGTGTGTGCGCGCGCCCCTTTTTTTTACTAATTTTCACTTATTTATATCATCTCTGCTTGATCAGTGTACTGTTATTGTTTATGGGCTTGTGCACAGAAGGTTAACAGACTGATCTAAAAAAACTCCAGGTCCTGTCAGTTTATTTTATTGCTGTCACACAAAAAGATTTTCCCATTCCACACCTCAGGAGGTATTTTACAGGTAGAAAAACAGTAGGCTGAGCCTGCACGGACCATGCAGTCGTCGTGCACTTTTGCAAGCTGAAACATCACTACTAGTAAACGCGTGGGTTTCTGCCAGCCGAGACAGCTCTAGGAGGAACACTGGCTGCTTCCTTGGGATCAAGCGAGACCTGATTCGGGGTTGGGAGAAGGGAATGTAGTCTGCCTAACCTGTACAGCTTCTTCTTGAAATAAAGTGTTACCATCAAGGAAGTTTTAAATTTTCATTACATCAGGCAATTCATAATTGAATCTTGGTGGGTTTGGTTTGGTTTTAAAGGGTTTTGCAAACCCTTTCCATTCTAGTTCTTCATAACCTAAGAATTTTCAGGTAATTTTTCTTTGCTACTTTTCAATGTTTTGTTCTAGCACTACTGAAGAGAATTAAAAGCACCGATAGTACATAGCACCAAGTCAAAATGGCTCTACTCCAGGAACTAGACCAAAGGAGGAGGCCGGACTGCGTTGCTTTTTTCCCCCACTATTTTATTATTACCTTGACTGAAACTGCAGAGTACCAAAATTTAAGCTTTTCCTTCAGTTTAACACATGAAATAACAGGTTCAGGGAGGAGTTTAATTGAAGAGATGCTGAGGCATTAATAGAGCTTATATTTTTTTTATTACCAATAAAAACAACGAAGTTTCTGAATCTCCACTTTCACTTGACAGCTGGGAAAGTGAAAAACTCTTTTCTGTCCTTTATTCATGTAGCCCAAACACCGCTCTCTTCTTTTTTTTAATCGGAGCACCAATGAAATACACCTTGCGTTACTGTTCTCTCCCACCCCAAAAAAATTTGAAGCCACATGAAAAATCACAGTCATCATACTCATTTGCTTAGAAGAATGCCAGGCACCGCAGCTCTCATCCTCTTTGATTTTATCAAGCTTAGTTCAGCATAATATTCTGCTCCATTGTCCCAGCTGTGCAATCATTTTATTACTGTTTTATCATCCTCATCTTTGCTTGGTGCGGTGCAGTCATTATTGCCAGCAGTGTTTGTTATTTTCAAGATACAGAGCCTGCAACCAACCAGAGAGAGAGACTGACGGTGCGCGTCCGCACCCGAGACAGCCCTGGTGACCCCTTCTTCCTCGTGCAGGTTTTGATCCGGAACAGTAAAGATATTGGCTTCTGTGGAGGGAGTTTAATCGGCAGCCGCTGGGTCGTCACTGCTGCTCACTGCCTGGATCTCGTCAGACCACACCACGTTACCGTGGGTGAGTACAGTTTGTGTAGCGTATAAACACAGGGGTATGCTCTTACTGAAAATGCGCTTTGCATGGTACATGAGCACAGTAAGGTGTGGTTGAGACACAGACACGTCCAGCCTGACTTGGAGTTACAGAACACCTCATTTTCTTCAAGTGCCGAGGGGCTCCAGCTGCTCCCTTTTGTTTTTGTGGGGAACCTGGGAGCATAAGGCACGGATTTAGCTTCTTCTGTCGCCCATTTTGGCAAACATCTTGTGCATGGAGACGGAGCACATCTCAGGGTACACCTCAGAAGGAGGGATGCTGTAGGTGATGGTCTGCTCTCAAGTCAGTTTTGTTTTTTAATCAGCCTTAAGATTAGTTTCCTGCTGTGCTGCGTGCTTCTCGGCGCCTGTAATTGCCTCAGAGCAGAAAGCCCCTCTCCCGCGTCATGTGCTACAGCACCGGTTACAATAGCAGGAGTTGTAACCCCTTGCTTTTTTACAACAGCAGGGGTTATAACCCCTTGCAGCAGGAATGTTGCAATAAACACAATCTTGTGCTTGAAACCTCCAGCAAAGAGACAACGCAAAAGGCACAAGCAGAGTACAGCACTGGGTAACTGACAGGAAACAATTCCTCAGCCTTATCCATGGCTGCATCTTAATGCTTATGTCAGGTTCCTGAGGGGGAAAACACCCCATGGAAGTCTGACACACTGTTCAAAATCCAGCGCTTACTAAAAAGCACCGACAGTATTTATGGCAAAATCCCCACCCCAGAAGCCATAATGTCTGTAGCAAGTAGCCATTCATCCAGTCGACAACTTTGTTTTGCCCGTAAAGGGCAAACGGGTAAGCTTGCTTTGCAGGATCACAGCTGCAGCGTAAGAAATTATTGTTCCAGAACATCATTTGTTTTGGTCTGTGCCTTCTCGGGACGAAAGGCCAAAGCATTGACGCGCTATCGTCTTTCCTGTTCCCCCGTGACGATACCCTACAGGCTCTTTACAGTTTGCCTAACATTTTAACTTGTCATGACTACAGGAGACTTTGACAAATACCAAAGAGAATTCAAAGAACAAAAGATCGACGTGGAACGGAGCTGGACACATCCACACTATGATTCAAATAACTACAACGGTGACATCGCCTTGTTGTACTTGAGCAGTGACGTTATTTTTAATGAGTTTGTAATCCCCATCTGCCTCCCAAGCCCTAACCTTGCCGCCCTGCTGTCCGAAGAAGGAACAGTAGGGATGGTGAGCGGATGGGGGGCCACTCACAACCGAGGTTCGACTCTGCGCTTCCTCAGGAAAGTCCGGCTGCCCATTGTGAACATGGAGACCTGTCAGCGGTCAACAGACAGGCTCATCACTGACAACATGTTCTGCGCGGGTTACAACACTGACGTTGCAGACGCCTGCAAAGGGGACAGCGGTGGCCCCTTCACGGTGTCTTACCACAACACTTGGTTTCTCTTGGGGATTGTAAGCTGGGGCGAGGGCTGTGCTGAAAAAGGAAAATACGGTGTATATACGAGAGTACCCAATTACATCCCATGGATTAAAGAGGTTGTTGAAAGTGTAGCAGATTCGGAAAACTTTGCCATTAACTTTCCTTAATACCATCTTTAAAAAGAGGGACAGCTCTATTATTAGAGTGTTGCGGTCTAAGACATTATGCAGTTCCTGTCCTTAATGGTGTAAAATCAAGATTTTCTTCAAAGAAATTCTGAGTCTCCATTTACCATAAATGGTTAAATTCTTCATTCAAGTATTACTGAGTAGAATACTTGTGTATAATAAAGAACTATTCTGCAAATAACAAAGGAGACAACTACAACTTTTCTTAATGTAAATTCCTATCAGAAAGGGTTTTTCTTCTTTAGAGAGAGCTTTCCATGTCTCAAGCCTACACGCATATCACAAAAACAGGCCAAGAGTCCTCCGTGTGAAGTAGTTGCTTAGAAAAGGAAGTGCATTTCTGGGAGCACTCTCTGTCCCCTGGTACAAAACAGCAGTTAGGGAGCTGTGCAGTTTTGTCCCCAGGTAGAACTGTTACCTCAAGTACAATTCAGTTCACTGAAATCCAAGTGCTTTCTGATACGAAACCAGTGTCTGTACGGAATCGTGTATTACAAACTGCACTGGATAAACTGTCTGCTGGAGAAAAATAGAAGGATTGTATGGTAGAATTCTGAGAGAAATAAATTGGTACTGGGGGGCTGCGAGGAAGCGCTGTCTCCTGTGCCTTGGGGGGCAGCTCCGCTCCAGCAGCCGGTGAGGCAAGGCAGGACGATGGGCGTCACACTCCCACCCCCATCCCACTCTGGGCAGAGCACTACAAAACAGTGCTGCAGCCATAGCCAATAACTGACCGTTTTTCCACACTTTTTTTTTTCCTAAGAAACCCCTTTTTCTTTATTCTGAAGACACCCCTCCACCCCCTCATGTACACAATTTACCTCTCCTAGTTTTTGGTGAAAACCAGTAGCTGAGACATGAAATGTTTGTGAACACGCTTGATGGGGAAAAAGCCAACACACCACAGCAAGAAACAACTTTTCTATCATCCTAAAACACCCAGCCAGCCCTCTTAAAGAGGCTGATTGCCCCCCCCACTGTAAGAAGCTTCACATACTTCAAAGAAGTGCTCCATGCCAAAAATGCAAGTGAAATACCTGTGGGCCATTATCCCCCAACTAATTATCCCCTTTGAGTGCCTACATTGCCGTCTTCATAGAATCACCTTTCTCTGCTGCATCTTTCTGCTGCAATTAATAGGTGGCCTTCGTGACCCATGTCGAAAGCTGGTTTGATTTTGTGACCTTTCTTACAATTCACTACGAAATTTAAAAAAAAAAAAAACCACCCACAAAACACCACAGGACTCGCACTGATGAGCGGTCCTCTTCCTCAGCTTTGTTCAAAGCCTTGTAAACGTCTATTATTACCATTCCACAAGAAGCAGAACCTTTTTGGTTTGCCTCAGAGAACACATGATGCTGAGCTATGAGGATTAATTTTGATGGCAAGAAAGTGCACTAGGAGTACGCAAGACCACCAGGGTCAGTACTTTAAGGGAACATCGCTTCGAATTTAAAAATAGCCCACCGTCCCCCATGACTGCAGTACCAGAGAAAAAAAGGGGGGGGGGGGGGGGGAGAGGTGGGAAGCCCATTCTAACCCATAAACCTTTGGGGCCAAGTGGAAGCTGGGTATGAATAGCTCCACACTGTTCATTTCTTTTTCATATAGTTGCACCTGCCAATATGGCAGTAAGGAATTCCCTGTCTTTCAATAAATTTTTAATTAAAAATGGGAAAAAACCCAAACCAACCCCTCAAACTCTCAGCATGCTAAAAACACACACCCGAGGTCAGTTACTGTGTCCTAAGTGTACCTGGCAAGCATAGGTGACATAGCCTTACGAGGAGAATTCCTTTAGCAGGCTCCCATCCAGCACAGGCATCCTCCTTCAGTTTTTGCTTTAAGTTCGTGTCCCAGCAAACAGCTTTCTTTTATCATTGGTCTCCTTCAGTCTCACAGGAGCACATTTAAAATGTGACCATCCACGTACTTACATTCTCTCCATTACCAGTGCCAGCAGATGCCAGAGGTACTAAGCACTTCTAAGTCAGCCAACGCTAAGATCCCTACCTCAAGGAATTCACAGAATTGCAGCACACACGTTACAGCACACGGGCTGTGCTCCTCTGGAACGAAGGCAACTTTCTTACTGAAATCCCAACTGCCAGTTATCCATGCAAGGAGAAGAGTCCTCTTCTTGTAGGCGAGCTCAGCAGACAAAAACATTTTCAGAGGTAGAGGTAAAGCAGCAGAGGTACAAAACGTTGCTCTGCTGTCTTTCTGTAGCACCAGGGACAAAGAAATAGCCGCATTATCCCCCTAACGCAGAGACAGGAACCTTCTCCTCACTGCTCGTAAAATGAACTTTTCAGAAAGTCACCAGTGGGCTACAGAGCAACACGTTTCAGCTACGCAAATTCCAGAGCAAAACAAAAGAAAAAAATTTACATGGCTTTCTGCCCTACAAAATGAAGTCACAGCAGTATCAAGCCCTGCAGCAAAGGCTCCACCCAGCCAATCTAAGTGCTGCATAAAGCACCCAAAAAAGAAGTGTCCAGCAACCTGATACCCAGTCTTCTTGAGCAGTCTCACTAACCTTGATTCCAAAGTCTGGCTTACTTTGAAAATAATCTCTGCTATCACGCGTCACAGAAACGCCCTGCAGCTGCCCTTCAGTCACCCTTGAAGGCTGATCAATAGTGGTAAAATACTGCTGTCTGTCTTACGTCAAGCATTTTAGCTCAAAGCCGCTGGAATTTCTAGTGGTTGGTCTGCTGGTCTCGAACTCTACATCATGCTTTCACAAAAAATGAAACCCTTTGAGTGGCAGATGGTCAGTATTTCTAATCAAAACCCATACATGTAGATCTCCGAAGACAGAACACCTGATTAATAAGCACTGAATAAAGAGGAAACAGACAACAGTAAACAGAAAATTAACATTTAGCAGCTTTTCCACATACCAGGTGGTCCGCACATACCTTCTCTTCAGCAATCAACAGACAGCCCCCCGAAAAAACAGAAGGTGTTTTATTGTCTAAAGTGTTGCAATACAACAAATACGTGATCTGTACAAAGGACACAAGAGAGCAAGTTTAAATACAATCAGGAGAAAGAAGTCCCCATATTCACATTCCTCGGACAACATCTTATACCAGAACCTGAACCAACAATTTAAAGATTCAATAAAACCCAAATAAGTTGTTAAAAAATTTAAAGGTCTCCAAAGAGTCTCTGGGTGTATTGTCTTACAGCAGAGATCATGGGGTATTCTGTGAAGGGTCACAATGGCATCTTATTGCCCTCAATGCTGATTTTCACTGCATGGGCCGATCTGCTTTTTTTCCTGATATCTGTGAATTTCCGCATCTGTTTGTCCAGTCGACTCACCCCTTTCTTAGAGGTCCCCTGGAACTTAAAAAATAAAACTAATAATTACCACTGAAAAAAAGCAGACGTCCCAGAGGTTCAAGAAAAGCAATGCATGCAAGGTTAAACCTGCAAGAGGGAGCTGAGGAAGCCTCTGGTTCCAACCGGTTGTGTGTGCGTGCGCACGCATTCTCTCCCCGCAAAGTGGATAAAATGGTTCCCCCGATATATGCATCGCGTGTATGGAGGTAGTCACGCTCCCAAACATCACACAGTAAAGCTTTCACGTTACAGGGATTAACAACCGTGTTAGCTGTTCACATGCCGGCTCAATACACAGCTGGGAGGAGTTTTGTATCTATATTGGCTGGAGTTTAGGGTCAGAAATACACTTGCACTATGGTGTCATACATACAGGCTTCCTGCGGGGGAAGATTTTTAGATACAAATACACAGTAATTGAGGTGGATTGAGCTGACATACCAATTCCAAACCGCAATTTATTTTACAGGTCACCTTTTAGTACTTGCAAAGCAAGAGATTATTGGGAAAAAGGGGGTGTAGGGGGAAGCAAAAGAAATGCCTAAGCTGACCATACAAATTATTAGAAGAGTTATTGCATTTCATCTCTGTATGTTAACTGCAAATGAAAAACTGAGATGACGCAGCAGTTATTTTGCACACATTGAATACAGTGATTCTGTAAAGAAAAGCCACTGAAGACAAACAGCAAGGACCTTCCTTCCAATCCATAGCCATTACTTCCTAGAAAGCAACTTCCCCTAACTAGACAATAGAAACAACAAAGGATGGAAACTTCACACCTTTTAAGTTTGGGAGAAACAGAGATATCCAGAACATGCTATTTAATATCTGACAAAAAACACCTATTAGAAGCTGAACGTCTTGTTCCCATCACTGAGGACACACTGATTTTGAATAAACTTTATTCATAAAACTGTTCACTGTTCATTGAAATTATATCTGAAATTTCACACTGATTTTTAAAAAAATATATTTTTATTTAAACAAATAAATATGAAGCTTAAACTCAACAGTTACCTACCACTTGTGCTAGCCTCTTTCTGTCACTATTAGTTTGTGGCAGCCCTGCTCACAGAACTGAAATGCAGACTAGAAACTGTCAAAACAATTCCCGCATTGATGTATGTCATTGATCTCCCTCCACCCTGCATTCACAGCGGGGGATTCTTCTCCCCCTGGTCTGCAGAGGTCTCATTCTCTGCCTCCTGTCAACCACCCCTAAAGTCTCACAGCACTCAACTTCCTTGACAGAGCAGATGTGAAAGATACCTTACTTTGGACAGTAAAATGTCAGCCACAGATGTTGGCTAAGAATTCAGGTAAACCTGGAGAACCTAATTATGCCAGAACAGCATTCAAAACCACAGGTGGTGCAAAGCTATTTTTGAGTACAGGTTATTTTCATTTAACACCTGTCATTTGGGTACCCTGAAGCTGTTGAGGCAGGTATCATGGCAAACGTTATGTGCTACAGCCTATTTTTTCCTGTACAAGTTACCTTTTAGGTCACAGTACAGACACGAGAGAATACGAGGAGAGTTTTCCACGTTTAAGTTAGGGTGTACACACTCCTTTACTGTATGTGCAAACTGCCAACAGCTGAAGCACATGCACTGTTCACACCTCCCTTGAGGGATACCTCTCAAACTTGGGGAAGGCAGAGTGTCATGGCTACAGGGGCATCCTGTTGCCTTCAATGCTGAACTTGATGGCCCGATGCACTTTGCTGAGTCGTTTCTGTTCAGCAAACCGTCTCTTGTGTTTTTCCAAGCGACTAATACCTCTCTTAATAGTCCCGGGCTAGAAACAATATCTCAATTAATGCACAGAAGGAGAGATAACAGCAGAAAGCACAGTAATTATTACTTCTTCCATTTACATGTGTTCTACCATGTACTCCGCTTTTAAATTAAACTGTACAAGGTAGATGAATGCACCAAATAAAGCAAGGCAAAGGCCTCTACTGAAGCTGTTAATGTTTACCAAAACCTCTAAGTTTTCCCAAACTGGAATATTACCAGAAGAACATGATACAAAAACTGGGAGAGGTATAAAAAGATCAGTGACACGCTTACTGGACTTCAGTTAAAAATGCTCTAAAATAAGAGGCCTGTAATCAGATTCTCACCCTAGAGAGAAACGCTAGAACAGTTAACGGGAAAATCTCTTTTTGGTTAGAAAAGCAACGATACCCGAGTGAAAGCGTTTGATGAGCTTAGAACAGCCCACTCGATAGCAGAACTTACGGTCTACTCAAATTAGAAGAGGCACTTAAAAGAACTACCATATTGTACAGTAACTGTGGCAATAAAGCGACAGATTCCCAGGCTCAATCAGCCTGGACAGCTTAGGTACAGAGTCACTAGGAGAGGCTAAGCTATCCCCACACCGCAGTGCTTACCCTGGAGGACTCCATCTCCACGTTCCACTTTGGCCTGACCACATAGTCCTTGTTGGAGGGCATTGGCACCCTCGCACGGGCACAGAACCCGGGGTCTCCAGGTCTAAGAGCCCTGCAGAAAAAAAGAGATGTGACTGTTAGAGACAAATCTTATACAGAAAGAAGTACAAGCAATATAGCGTGTTCTACCTCTGAAACACGCTGCACAACCATTGCCTCTAAAACCTCAAAACAAATTGCATATTGCTAGTACCACCAAAATATTTTTTTCTAATGAATTAAAAAAAAAAAAAAAATCCAACCTACTTTTCCTCTCCAGTTAACACTTTCTCCAGGTCCCTGCGGGGAGTCTGACCACCAGAGCTGCAAGAAAATAAAATTTTATAGGCATCTATACACAGAGAAAAACAGTAATTTTAAAAGACAGTCAAGTGTGGGTAAAAGAAAAGAGAGAGGTCATAACTTATTATCTTTTTATTTCCCTTAATATTTACACACCACTTTTGTTTTTCTTGATGGAATCTTAGAAAGAAAGGAGGATTTCATGTTTCTGCCTGCTACCCCTACCTGCTCAATCTCCTTCGCTGAGGCATCTGCTCCAAATCTCTCTGTTCCCTTTCTTCTCTTGTCATGCCTTTGTAGTTTGAGGTAAGGCCAAAGATGGGTCGAGACCATTCATCTATTAAAAAATAATAAAATTGATTAACAAATGCTAGGCCTCTGAAGGTTATCTCCAAACCACTCCGGTGATGAAATACAGCTTTCAAAGTTTACGGCAAGTATTTATGCTTCCTTTCAACTAAACAAATTACTTTTGAGCCCTTCATATTTCAGGGAAATCCAGCCTTGTGGACAGTAAGAAAGAGCTTTCATCCATAAAGTCTCTTGCTGTTGCCTGCTCTTTAAGATTCTCTCCGAGCTCTTAAAATACTTAGTGTCAGGAACTCCTGCCCACCACAGTGGGCATTTCTAACTATTTTAGAAATATGCAAAATAGTTCCTAAAGAACTTAAGTTTATAATCAGTTTGCAGCCATTCAGGATGGAATGCACTACACATGGACTACAGCTGTTTAAGAAGCAAACACTTTCAGTCATCCAAGATCTCTCTAAAGTCCATGGAATAAACAGTCTTCTGGCAGCACCTTCCTGCCTTTGTAGCATATACATGAGGTGTGGACAACTAGCCAAGAGAGAACCCAGGCAAAATAAATGCCATCCTCTGGTTTAGAACAAGAATGAAAGAAACAGGAGAAGGTGCACACAGAAGTTAATGTAACAGCATTTGTTAAGAGCTGTACAAACAAAGCGATAATATAGATTAGCGAGATTGCTACATTGCAGCATTCATTCTATTAGAGACAATAGCAAAAAACATGCAACAGAAAGACTGACGCAGAAAGCAAATTATCGATGAAATCTCCCTGATGCAAGGCAAAGGGAGGTTTACATACTGATTAGCTTCCCTGCCATATCCTTGTTAGGTCTCGACTCTTTGGGGTGTTTGTAGAGGTACATCACAGCTCGTCCTATGCCACTGTGCTTCAGGGTCTCTTGGCTCACACTGGGCAGCTGTAGGGTAAAGGAAAAGTCAGAAAATAGCATGAAATTATGTCTGAACATGGTGTCATTGAACTTCGCAAAAAAGACCAAAACCCACCTTCGCAATAAGCTTGAAAAAAATAGCATTTTTCATTGTTCCACTAGGAATTGGTTAAAGTATCAAACACCAGAACCTAGAAATTTGCCTTAACAGTCTTGGGATTTATACAGAAAATTAAGTAAGTTTCCAGAACTATTTATTCCAAATGCTCTTTTGCTTCTATTACCCAAAAACACAGTTACTGCCTTCAAAGCATTCGTTTTATAAAAAACTTATGTGGCAAAAGCATCCAAGTCATCAGCTTAGTTATAAACGCTGAAAGTCTACACTGAGTACGATGGGCTTTCTAGTGCACTGCACACTTTAATAGGCCAGAAAAGAGAAGGGACCACGAAAGAGAAAAACTCAGGGATACATAGCAAATGACTCATCACTAAACTTGGCATATAAACCTGAAACAGGCAGGCAGGGCCAAATAATCTAAAGTCAGGTAGAACTCTTGCAAATTCTTAGCAAGGACAAATATTTCTAGAACTTCAGTTAAATAAATCCAGCTAGTGGTGCTGCAAGAAAAATTTCACTTCTACTTCGTTATCAAGACTACGCCATGCTTATTTTATGAATGCAGCAAAGACAAATTACAGTGACCAATCACAATGTATGAGCCACTGAGAAGGAGGGAAGATAAGTGAGTACGCAGTTCAGATTTATCAAGAATCTGGAAATGCCATAGCACATAACTCCCTGAGAGAGAGCAGAGAACTTCATGTCTGTAGTTCACCTCAGACTCTCAGAAATGTCTTCTGGCCTGCTGCTAGCAGAGCTATTCACTTTGTTGTGAACATGGGCAAAATTTTCATAACAACAATTAAGTGCCTGAAGTTTCCTAGCCAAATTTTGTTCAGCTAGACAGCACGTCTACAACATAAGACTCATTAAAATGACGCAACTTTTAAACAAGCACTTCTATTTTGCAGTTTGCTTCCTTGTGTATTTCACTGCACTGTCCATTGGTAGCAGCTGCAGTACATTTACCACCAAACATTTCCCTAAAGCACATGATTGTAAAACCATGGAGAAGCCACCAATCAAATACAATTAAAAGTCCATTTCAAACCTCTTGCAGGATCTTCAGAAGCTCCTCTCGTATCTTTAGTGCTGGCAGACTTCGGTCTGGAAGAGGAGAAAGCCACTCTTTGATGGCAGACATAACACCACTATCGATGAAAGTTTCTTTGAGGTCCTGCCTATAAAGTTTAAAGTAAAGAGAAGCCACTAAGTCATATAATACATCAAAATCTTAAGATGGGATGGTCCTCCAGCACAATAGTGCATTTGAGTTTGTTTCATGTTAAATTAACAGGTAAAATTACATAGAATTTTAGGTTTTTGAGGCCGCCTAGCTCCAGCATTTACTTGGAAGAGAAAAAGTGTTTCCCTCCATACTCACTACAACTGTAATGTCACTCCATGAAATCTACCTAATTCCCAATATTCCCCAAGATGATAATTAACTGGAAAAATGACAACTCACTTTTTAAGATGCATAACTACAGTTGGTAGCAAAGTTAATTTCTTTAGTGCTGGTTTCTTTTGTGTATTCAGCTGTCGATCCTCCTGTAATGAGTTGAAGAATCAGTGCAAGGTAATCAGAAGAAGAAATTCACAACTCTCATCCTTTACAACATTTACAGGAAAAAGATTAGTCTGTTAAATGAGAAGTGCAACTTTGGCAGGATTACACTAACTTTGTACCCTGCTCCATCTTCCTACTGCTCCAAAACACATTATATGATGACTTCTCTTAAAAAAAGGGTCCCCACCTTAGTCAACATTTTCCTTAAAAGCATCACATTAGGAGATTCCCCCCTAAAATTACTTTTTTTTTTTTCCTACTTCATGATTTACGTTGATTGCAATAAACTGGAGGTATGCAGAGTCCTCCATGCTATGCACAGATAACCTAGAAACTTACTTAGTAAAATCTCACCTGAACAACAGAAAAATAGCTAACCAAAACAATGGGAAGTGAGAAACACACGTATTCACTTCAGCTAAGAATGTAACTGGATAACCTAGAGGTTTTGGATGAAGCATGGTGCACGTAACGTTAAGAGCACACAAATGTACATCATGTGCTAAAACAAAGTCTGGGTTTCAAAGTGACTATCATCCAAGGCCCTAATGTCACTACCTGTTTAGTACTTGGGCTCCCATATCAAAAAGACCCATTACAATCAACAGATTTATGTCCTGCTGTGGTTAATTCCTTTCCACTCATCTTAATCCACTGAAGGCTCTTTCTGCACAATGTTTTTTTCATTGCAAGGGAGGAGATTCTTCTAGTGCCCTTCTTCCCCTCTTCATGCCCCAGAATGGTTTGACAGGCACATACTAGAGAACCACAACACACACCACAATACTGGAGCTCAGCTCTTCCTTCTCTCCAATATTTCAAACTTTATGGCTTCATTTGAAACATTTGGCTATCATCTTGTCCAAGAAAAGACTTTCTTGTCAAGACCCAGATCGCTATCTCACTCTCCCCTTCCTCCCCAAACACATTATCCTTCTTATCTTGTTCTCAGGAAGATTCTTTTGTTGTTGTTATTTTTAAGATTCCTCTTTCTGAAGTTCTGTATATTCCCCCCAATTGGTTGTAATGAGTTTTGCAGTGCTGTTTGTTAATTTGATTGCTACTCCAACAAAACTACAACCGCAACGGAAGACACCTGACAAAAGGCAAAACTCCAATAAACCTTGCATAGTAACATATTAAACATATGACTCCTTGAAAAAGGTAGTCTGCCAAGACAGAACTTCCCATAATTCTGTTGCTCTACCACCATTTACCACAGTACTGTCATTCAAACAGTTTAGAAAAGGGTTCTTCTCAGGAACAAACACCAAAGTACTACACATGCTAGTAACTGTATAATGAAATTAAAGCACAGTCCCTTTCTCAGTGTTTGACATACTTATTCTTGTAGTTTATAGAACACGTATACGTCCCTTTTTATAGGACAGTGGATCTCAGCTGATCAAAGTTTAGCAAGTTAACTAATTTTAATCTTTAAAATGAATAAATATTTTCTCCAAATTTCAATGAAGGAAATGTTTTAATTCAGAATAGCAAAATAACATTTAAACAGTTATTCAGATATGGGAAGCCTTCTGTAGTGTACAGATTACTCCTCCTGAGTACCAGCCAGATTTCTGTATTTTACTGCTCACAAGATTTTCCCATAGAATGGAACTGGATTTTAAGGTGTCTTTGGAGCCTACAAAACTCACCTCAGCAGCTTCATTCATCTTCACAATCATAGCACTGACCACATCATCTGCATCACTAATAAAAGTTCCACCGTCACGGTTTCGTCTACGCTTGCCACTCATACTCTTCTTTCGTTGCAGCATCATGTCAAAATCTGACATGAAGTCCATGCTGAAACGCAAGAAGAGAGTTTATTGATGGTCAGAAGAGGGTTGATCTTACTGTCTTTGTAGGAAGTAATTTTGTATTTCTGTAGCGTAACCTTTCAAAAATTCTCCAATAAATCTAGAAGCATTATGTCTCCATGTCCCTGTAAGATAATTAGTTATCCTCAGTTGACAAACTGGGAAACTAGCACAGGGCTTCAATGCCTCTGAGATGCCCTCAGAAGTCTGCATGACCTTGCTGAAATAGCTAATGACACACGCCTAATGTAATATCCAGGGTTCAAAATGTGTTAAAGCTGTCACTGAAGCTAACAAAGATTTAGCCTTCCCATACCTGCAATACACTACTCTGATGCTACTGGAGCAGACAGAAAGGAAACAGGAGACATGCTGATGGCAAGTCTTGCCATACCTTATCCCTTATGCCAGCAGAGAAACACACCTGTGACTCTACTGCTGAACTGCTAAAAGCAGAGTTACATGCTTGTTTGATTAGATATTAATTTCACTCAGGTTTTGGTGGGAACCACGAAATACTGTTCTCTGAAGCAGCAGCATAGGTAATCTGCTATGGACTGCCAAGTGACTAAACTGCACAAGCTGAAAGAGGACCTTCTGTCGTAGTTTATGAGAATGCACTTTCTGTAGAAACACAGTCCCATGCCTTTTTCAGCTAAGAAGTCTAACCGGTCTTCGGAGGAGCCCTTTCACTAAAATCTTGCACTTGCTATTAACAAAGCAGTACATAACACACTGACTTACTGCTTCCCTCTTTTGATGTTATCATCAGAGTCCGATTCATCTGCTGTCTCCTTCATGTCTGCATCACCTTTCTCTTCCTCCAAATCTTCCTGGTTAAAACCCTGATGGGTAAAGACAGTGCAAATCAGTGCGTGGATTAAGACTAAGCATCTACTCAGGCACCTGACACTGACACTCAAAAAGCTTCAGGTAAGTCTGCAGAGGATCTAGAATAAAGAGGAACAATGGCTTTCTAATTCCACCTGTGACTTTCACACCAATAACTCTCCCAACAGAAGAGCTGTAAATGTTATTTAACCCAAAGACTGAGTCCAGCAGATAGAAAGCTTCTTTCCTGATACAGCATATCTTTGAACAAGAGTTCAAACCCAACCTGTCATTCTGGAGTACCTTCCCATGAAGACTAGATCTAGCAAGTGAACAAGAGACATCCACAGTAACACTTACTGTAAATTCCTCTTCTTCCTCATCACCAGATTCTCCAAATATATCTGCAATCAGGTTCCTGTGAAGGTAACAGTAACATTTATCTATTTAGACTGCAAAAGTGAGAAGTGCATTTTCTGCAAAATTTCTAACGACTGCGTGGAGATCAACCTTTCATTCTGCCACCTACTACTGACCTTCCTCTTCACACCACCAATGAAGGTGGACAATCATTCTCTGGTTGAGATTTATCTATGCTCCGTTCATCATCAGTCTCACTATCTGCAACCCTGAAGGAATTCACATTCCCAGAAGCACTTACTCTTGTTCATTTCCAGATTCACTGTCACTGCCAAACAGATCTTTCTCTTCTTTTTTCTTCCCAGCATTCTCTTTTCTTTCTTCTTCTTCTTCCTCACTATCTGATACAATATTTTTCTTCCTTTTGTCAGATTTCTCTGAAGCAGCGTCACTGTCTGACTCTTCAACATCAGAGAGGATTCGTACTTTTTTTGCAGCTGCCAACAGAAAGGAGCATTACTACATGTCCTAGTAACACAGGTGACAACTGGTACTCTCAAAAAACTATTCTCTCAAATTCGATTTGGACAAGAGGGAAGCTGACTAGCCTTCCTACACAAAATCACTGCCATTTCTTAAAAAACACATCCATTCTAAAATCTGGTTTATTCAATCAGTAACTGTTTTTTTAATCAAGTTTCCATACACCACATTTATCCATAAAAACTTGTTATTTCAAAACTGACTCTCACACCCAGTATATAAAAAAACAGAAGAAAAAAAGTAGAGAAATGACTAACAGGAATAATCAACACAACAACAGATGCCAGTATAAAGCAAGATCACTGCAGTCTTCTCTTTTGCTTCTACTAGACCTACTTATTGCTCAAAAGTATTAGATACACATTCACACAGAAATGCTGTTAGAACAATGGCCTCTACAAATGCAGTCATGCTCTAAAAACAAATTTGCTTTATGGTTTAGTATTTATCTTAGATGCTTTCTTCACATAAAAACAATGATTTAACTCTACTACTACTGCTTGTCACATCACATTTTTGTTTTCACGCTATAGTTCCTTACGTGTTTTCTCATTCTCATCCTCACTATCAGAAAGGATAGCTGTTTTCCTCTTCACTGTCTTCTCCTCCTCTTTTTCTTCTTCATCACTGTCCGATATTTTTCGCCTCTTAGGAGCTTCCTCTTCACTGTCAGAGCCCTGAAATCCTTCCCTTACATGTTCATTATCCGAATGATGAGAATCATTCTGCACGTCCTCCTTCCTGTCCTCCCCATCACTATCCTCAGACTCTATTTCTTGTTTGTGTCTGGAAACATCCTCGCTCTCCGAGTCACTAGGCGGCTGTTTGCGGAGCTCCTCACTCTCCGAGTCGCTGGCTGGCGGCTTGTGGAGCTCCTCGCTCTCCGAGTCGCTGGCTGGCTGCTTGTGGAGCTCCTCGCTCTCCGAGTCGCTGGCCGGCTGCTTGTGTGATTCCTCATTTTCAAAATCACTACTGTGATCCCTGGGAGGTTCTCCATTTTCAGAGTCACTTGCTCGATGATTTAAGGCATCTTCATTTTCAGAGTCACTTAAATGCTGATTTGGACGGTCCTCAGTATCAGAATCACTGTCTTTCCCTCCATGAGCTGCTTCATTTTCTGAATCACTTACATTGTGATTTGGAGGCTCCTCATTATCTGAGTCACTATCTTTTTGCCTTGGGATATCTTCATTTTCAGAGTCTGTCATATGAGGCTCTCCCATTTGCCCATCATCTTCTCCATCACTGTGTTCATTCTGAAAGAGAAAAATAATCTCAGGCAACTAAGCAAAAAAACCTTAAAAAGTAAACAAAAAACGTTCTAAATTTTGGCTTGTCCTTCCTCCAATTACCCAAGGTACTGCAAACTGAAACACTTTCTATACAGAAATAATTATTACACAACTTGCATCAAAGGACTATCAAATACTTCAGGTCAAGAAAAATATTAAAAGATCAACAGAAGCCTGTCCACCCTGCAGCTCAATCATATTTTGGAAATGGTAACAGAATTTAAAAAACACTCAAATAAACATGTTTAAGACGGGTCCACTTCCTCAAGGGTAAATGCTTAGTGCTTTTATTTTAAGAAGTCAGGCCTTCAAAGTGGTTTACTCCAAATCCCCAGTAATAAGGCAAGAAAGAGTATCTCGCACTTTTCGTTTTCTTAAGATCTCAAACGATGTTTTTTGTATGAAATACATTTTACTGAAACTGCACATGCATCACTTTCCAAGTGAAGCTCAAGAGACCTTATGCCCTTTCCTTCTTTGCCAAGGAAACTTATTTAAGAACACATCAAGACCAAAAGCCTACCAAAGAACAGGAATAAAGTTTTAGTCAGACCTTTCAGAGTATTATTGTTAACAAGTTTTGTGTTTCAATGTGTAAGAATGTAAGAACAGATTCAATGCTTTTCCCCCTTAAGCCGATAGCTCCCATGCCCATCCAGACACCCGAGATAACCTACGCACAAATACACCGATCTTCTTAAAACTTTAGAATTGAAACACAATCCTTTATGTTTTTTCCTGGCAAAAAATACTGAGCCACACACTCCATTTTTGGAAAAACTTTTCACAAGCCACCTGTCAGTATCATTACTGACAACATCTTGTTTTACCTTTCCTACAACATCTAATTTCTACTTGGGGGAAAAAAAAAAAATCTCAATTGCATTTATCTGAGAAAACAAACACTTGAACACTCATTTCATTAACTCAGTACGCCTCTCTCAGTCACTGTCACGATAATCCCGTTTTCAATGAAAAGAACAATACTGTAAAAGGAACTTCTTTTCTACATACTCAACTCCACTCTTCAGCCAGGCTTTCCTCAGGGGTGATTCTGTCTCAGCTACAGACGCCTTCCACTAGCATATTTTCAAACTGAGTATTTACTGTCCTAGGAGATACTTGAAGACCTCTATGTCCTGGAGCTTCCAAATCTTTTTTGTCAGCAATTTAATTTCCTTGGAAAGACAGACTTTCTATCTATTTTTATTTTCTATAGTCATTCTACTCCCATATTCAGAGCCATACAAAATAATGCAGGTGTATCTATCCTACACCTATGGCAAACAGTACTATTAATCTTTAAAATGTATGATTAAGAAGGAATTTCAAATAAAATTAATTTTAATTGCTTTTACTCCCTCCAGAACTATACTAAGTGGTAACTAACATTGCTTTTTAAGATTTCGGACCTTATGTATTTATTCCTTTGTCTAGCACTCAATAAAATAATTTCTAAATTACTGCAGAATCACTAACAGAAAGTTACTGCACAACAGAAAAAAATCACGACTATAAAATTTTAAAACATGCACTTCAAATACAACTTCACTATTTCCGTGTTACTTAATGCTAGCTACAAAACAGCTGCTGTGATAATCTGAGTGAGTAGCCTTCTCTCTACTGCTTCTCCCTGTCTCCACAGCAATACTAGTCTTTTCAGTCTTGCTGGTGGTATTACTCAGTACTACTCATTTCTCCGTACAGAAAGGAAACATAGTTCTGTTAAAATCTGAATTTGGAATTTTAAAGAATTAAATATGAAGATTAAGAAGTTATGGAATTGAGGATGCACAGCTGAGGAAGACCATAGACACACTCAACTGCTCTCAGCTTGTTATGGGATTTTATTTACTGCTTTTTTTTTTTCCTACAAAAAAAATAATTCAATTGCCCTCTCCTGACCAGTATCTCCCACATAAACTAACAACATGTGTATGTGATGTATTTTCTTTGATGGTATTATTTAAGATTAAAGAAAACCGCAGCTGCAAACAGAACAGAAAACACAGATTTTACAGCAGTATTACAGGTAAGGTCATTGAGAAGTACTGAAATGCAGAGGTCTACACTGAAATTGATGTTTACAATAACAGAAATTCTTTCATCCTTATTTTCCTACCATTTAATTTTTGGGGGTTTGTCTGTCTTCTCTTGCTTTCAGATGGCTAACACTGAATAGGTACTGATAATTATGTCAGCAGTAATAAGGGATTTTGCCGAACAAAACCAAGGAAAACAATACAAATACTCCTGTTTAAACTATTAGGCTCATCACCTTCCAGACTGCCAGTCTAGAAAGTCTTTGGTGAACTAGTAACGAAAACTAAAAAACAACTGGAATCCATAATGATTCTTAAATGTTTCTAATGTCAGAAGTGTGGCTGCAGGTTATATATCCACCTATTCAGTATATATTACTAAATTAGAAGGAACTTCCTATGCAAAATACTTGGTAAGAAGTCATTACAATTATACAGCGTTATTACTGAAGCACTTTACAATATAATGAATCTCTAATCTGTTACTGCAAACTGACAATCATTCTTGAAAACAAAGATGTTTGGGGAGGGAGAGCAGACATGCATTCTATTTAGCTCACACTGTGATTATACAGTGCTCTGCATCACAGAATCCCAGTGGTTACAGCAGCTGAACTCTACCGTGATGTAACCACCTACAGAAGAACCACTTAGATAATACAGGCGCCCCTACATGGACTGGGCAGACAGGCACCATCTACTCTAGCCCTGAGTCTGGAAACCTCAACCAGAGCTAACCCAAAAAGCACAGAGTTATATTAGTCAAGCCAGTAAGCCCAGCAGAGAGATGACACACACTACCTCACACTCAGCACATTAACATATAACTGAGCATCTCCTGAAGCAGAGCTGAGACAGACCTGGCTCGCTCAGAGCCTACACAGAACAGACAGGCCCTGTCCACAGCCATAAGCACAAAGGTCTTCTGAATACAGTTAATGAATCTGTGAATGTTTTGGAATATACTTGATATAAAAAGTGCATGCAACTTTACAGTAAGATGACTAAACTCTGTACGATAGTCTCCTCTCCACCCCTCCCCTTCCCTTTTTTTTTTTACTAGTTCGTCTCTAAAGAGATGTTTTCAAGAAAAAGTATGCAATTTTGGAGTTCTCTATTTTTCCTTTTCCAAACACGTAATTAAAATAAAAGATCAGACATCCTCAAAAACAAGTAGGTCTCAGGTAATTGCTACTGTATTTTTCTCTAATTCCTTTGCTTTCTTTTCTTCCTCCTCTTTATCTATAAACATTTTAATTGAGATGTCCTTAATTTCTTTTAACTGAAAGAATTCTATAACATAAGGCTTTAGTACAGTATAAAACAAGGAATATATCAAAATCAAATTTACAGTGTTATTCTTCTACATAGAAATTTCAGTTAGCAAGTAGTTTATTGGATCAACATGCAGCCACTTTTAAGAGGTACGACTTTGGTAATTTAGTAAGTTCAACAAAATTGACCCATCCACTACAATCTCATGAATGACAGTTGTTAAACTGAGGCATACATAACCATCACAGGCAGATCAGCAAGTTGCTCTTTTTTCAGAAATGTAAGATATTTGTGTATGTTTGTTAATAGTCACAGTCAAACCATTAACTTAATTCATGAAGACAGCAGCGACTTGGTGAAAGTGTAAGAATCGAAGTCATTAAAGATTTCCATATGAGCCTGACTTGTACAAACACTGTAAACATGATTTCATATTCATTACTGTACTAAAACTATGTGTTATCTAATTCTATTTGTCTAAAGCAGAATCAGTAAGGACATCAAGGAGAACATTTATAGATAAAGTGGGATTGGGGGAAGGAAAGCCAGAAAAGAATTGTGGAAAAGAAAAACCCACATACCTGAGACCTACATAAGTAATTCCTCAGGATTCCCCTTTTCTTTAAAGTTAAGAACCTGAAAAAAAAGTTTGAAAGTTTAAAACTTCAGTTCCTTACATCTGAGTTCTAAATTAGAGACGAAATAGTAATTAAATAGACTTAACTGATTAGGGTGTCTCAAAGGTTTTATTACCTTTGAGTGTCATTCCTCCCACATATTCCTAAAGATGAAGGAAATAAGAGGATGAGAGAATATTTAGGGTAAATATGATAAATCACCGAAAGGTACTCCTTTCAGAGACACCTGCTCCACATTACTGCATAACAAAACATTATACTCAAATGTTTATGATTTGAACTGAATCAATAAAGCACTAATGCTTGAAGGTTCACATTTATTATTGGACAGAAAGGTGTTGGACAGAAAGGTGTTGTAGTCCACTTTTTTCCTTTGCTTTTTTTTTTTTTTTTTTTTAAATGGACTTTCTGAAGTATTTTATCTACAGAGGAATATTCAACAGCCATCACAGAACAAAGCCCTTAAAATAATGCAGGCACATGAAGAGGATCAGTTAACAATGATAACAGGTCCTAGTACTTTCTGGTTATTTACATCTGAAAAAGACATGCTGAAGATGTAAGTAATAGTCAACTAAGCGTTCTTTAGGACAGATTTCCAGCTCATACACAGCAGAAAAAGCTTAATATTATTGTAGCAGCAACATGACTCTCCATGCACTCATCACCATTTTTTTCATTAAAAAAGAAGTACTAAATCCCTTTGAAACACAGTTATTTCTCCCATGCTGAAAAACATATTTTCTCCCACACTAAAATCCTGATTGTCACAATAAGAGATGCTGCCTCACACCAAATCAATTTCTTCCACTGTAAATATCAACACCTTGAAAAAAAAAAAACAAAACCAAACCAGAAATTCCAAATCTGCTTTACACTGAAATTCAAACACATGGGAAGAACCTTCATCTTATACAAATATAAAATCTTCATCTACTTTCTAACTCTGAGGGAAATATGAATTCAATAAAGGAGTGAAGTGGGTGAAAGGATTGCAAGCTATACCACAGCAGAGTTGAGCCTGTTGATACATCAGCCTGCTACAGTAGATCACATCATATATTTTAAGCAATTTTTAAAATGTATAAGCACGGAAAACCCCGTCAATCCTGATCTCTACATAAAATGCAAAAAAATATGCAGAACAGAATGAAATGGCTTTGATTACAGTTTTTATGAGTATCAAAAAGTTCTCCATAACATAACTTTGTTGGCAGAAGACATGAGTTCACAGGCCAAAATTACTCCTTCCTAGTAAGACCTGATGTAATTCTATTCCAAGTCACAAAAAATTCCTCAAAATTAACTCCAAAACTGTCCTAGAAATCTAGGGGGAACCTTCACTTTTATCAGAATCTCTTTTCAACCAAAATAGTCAATCCACAAGTTAAGTGACTCGCCCCCAAATACAACCCTAGATCAAAGAACTGCCACCCTTTTCATGGCATAAGCTCCTCGAAGCAAGAAGCTCTTCAGAGGAAGAACAGATCCCATTAGGAACCTTAACCTGCTCCTGCCCCACATGGAGACCTGCTCCTTTGTGAATGACAAGGTGAAAAACAAAACAGACTTGAGAGTCAATGCTCACATCTGAGAGGAAAGACAGAAGATGGGAGAGCATTTATTCTTTGGTAAAGAAATCTATGCCTCCATAATGTGTGGTTTTACATTACTTGCAGAATTGGAGGTAAAATTCCAAATTTCTCATAATCCCTTGCTTAGAATTTCAAACCCAAAAAGTTTATCTTCTTGTAATTGAGTATAACAATATTAAACTTTTTCTACTACAAAACAGTGAATGCTATTACAACAATTAAGAAGAAAAATTTAAAAAGACCCTATCGTACATATTGGTCAAGAGATTATCTGACACATTTCTTTCTGGAAGTAAAGTTTTGCAAGATGGGACCCTTCAGAACAACTGAATAAACACATAAGTCTCCATTAAGAGAAAATGCCTCTTTAAACAAAACAAAAAAAAAAAACTTATAGAAGAGTAATCTTTATGTAGATAAAGTTCCAGTAGTACCTCTGAATGATGCCCTACACTTCCATTCTCGGATCCAGAATGCTGCTCATTTCCTTCATCTTCAACATCAGATCCTGAATCTCGTTCATCTTGCACTGGAGTAGCTCCACCATCATCTACTCCGAAGTTAAGAAAAGAAAAGTAAAACTCAGTAACATCTCCCAGTGTTTAACAGAGCACTGACAGTGATGATGAACAGGGAGCCAGACAGTGCTACATCCAGACTCTCGTTCTAACGGTGGACTAATACAGAGAAACGGAGGGTGTCTACCCGGAAGGTCTGGAACAAACCCACCACAGGTACCTCCCAAAGAGATCACAAAACTACTTATAACGCGCACGCAAGCAGCGACTGATACACTAATCAAAACACCGAACTAATAATAAGGCGGCCGCTGTGCTGCGATCACGCCAGCGGACCCGGC